GGCAACCTGTTTCTGGATCGAAGCAAACAGGATCTACCAGCTGATCCATTGACCATGTCCTAAACACTGCGAGACGGACGTTCATGCATCCCGCAGTCGCTTTTCCTACCAATCCATCTTCTGTTCACCTGACGTCATTCCTCGACTCCTTAATATTAGAATCAGCAACGTTTGAAGAGCGATTATGTGCACCACGAGAATGGAAAGTGACTGCAGACATGCATAATCTAAAGGAAAGAGTTAATAACAGTCAATCCTGTTACATGCAATCTTGAATAACGCGCTGATAACAGCGTCACGGAGGTAATCGCGTTAATGCGAGGGTTAACCGTTGGCTCGGTTTCGATCAATTCCAGGTATCCCGGATAAAATGTGGGAACGTACGGGAGGGCAAGGAAAAAATGCAGAAAGCGCAAGGACGAGCGGGCATGCGGCAAGGCGGAAAAGTGTGACGCGCGCGGGCCAACCGTAAGCGGGCTCCCGTTCACCATATCGATATTGCTCAGTTCTTTTTTTTTTTCCTACCCCCGATCTACTGCAAGCCACGCTACAATTCTTTCGCATACCGAACCGCATATTAACGAGCCGAGCCGAGCGGCCGATACCGCGGCCAGGCGAGCGTGTCGCGCAAACGTTGAATAATAACTGCATTCCGCGCGGAACGGGCCTCGCCTCCTTTTGCATCGATCTATATATTAACCACTGGAGAAACGGGCCGGTGTCTGTCGCTGCCCAGCGACGGACCGCGTACGATCAATCCTGCTGGAAATTTTCATTAAAAAATTGTCATCTACCTTCGGACGTGGAGGACGATTTTCATCAAATCCTCTAATATTCGAACTTTAGATCGTCATATAATCCAATCAATATAATCTAATCTAGTTATCCGTGATATCACTTAATAAATTGGATATATATGAAATTATAATTGTCGTTCGCTGAGGAATCAATTTCGGTTTACTTGACATTATCAAACTTCTATTACAATCTAATTTAGCTGATATAATATTGAAATGGGTTATTAGCTTATGTCTTATCGTTCGGTTGGAAAAGTTTTATCGAAATTGTTCGCTCTGACGGAAAAAGAAAGGAAGAACGGTCGTGCCAAGTCCACTCGCAGTTTCACACGGTGATATACATATACACGTTTCCCGGTGAAGTCGTAACCAATTAAATTGTCAAACGACGCTCTTGCCGGCGTAACTGTACGACGTCGCGTTTTACGTAACGTGCTCGCCGCGCAATGGAACAATGTTTCACCTTTGTAAGTGACACGCCGTTAATGCCCGTTCTATCTTTCCGATTTTCCCCCGATTCTCGACCATTATCGCAACGTACTCTACAACTGCATTACGGAAAACGACCTGTACGATTAAGTGAAATTGCACCTGTGTTCATACTATCACATTTATATCGTTCTTGCATTTTCTGAAATATCTTTTTTCTGACTATCAACCCACGCAATTGACTGAAATATTCCTAATAACTTTCTAACAATTTCATTTATTACATAAAAATGATTTAATACTTAATCTGAAATAAAATGATATAACTGATGTAAAAATTCATCGCAAATGAATAACGACAGCTTTGTGTGGATTTCGGGATTTTCAGACGATAAATGAAGAGTTGATACCATTTAGAAATTTGCGTTATCTTTTTCCGGGAAGGATTGGGAAAAAGCGGGATCTACAGGTGGGCAGAACGTTGAAACCTGAATTCCTTGCATCGCGTTATGGCTATTTCCAATGATTTTACGTCCACGAGATTACAAGCCATAAAATTTCCAACAAAAAGCCGACAGGCCTATCCTACGCGCTAAAACGGATCGCTGATCTTTTAACTGTTCTTAATGGATCATTTTCTACATCAAAGAGCAGAAAAGATTGACGATTTTTACGCACTTCCGTGGAATGTTGAAAGGACATATATTTCCATCCTCACCGCCTTTTATGGAACGCGACGTTAGGAAACTTTATAGGAAAATTTAAGATGAAGGCGAGCTAGGGGTTGTCGCAAAGCCGGTGCGTCAATATTGACGCCGGCTGCTAGAAAATTCCTGGATCCTATTCGATTTTTCGCCAACGGGAGGGACGCGTTGCGTTGTAAACGATATTTGCGTTGTAACGCCGGGTCGATCGATCAAATTACCCGCGAGAGCTCCGCCGGCGGCGATTTTTCTTGTAAACGCGCGGCTGAAACGTACAATGCATCGCGGCCAACGTCGGGAAAAAAATGCCCACGTCGACGCGCGCCTGCTTGCGTTTATCTATTTTTTAAATTTACCCAGTGCCCGAAACTCCGCGCTTCGTAATGGCATTATTATGGAAAAAAAAAAAAGGAAGAGATGGGAAGAGCGGTGAAGAAGTTGCCGCGTGCGCGTGATGGTTCTATTTTCCACTTTACATGCGGCACGTAAATGCACGCGCTAATCCGTTTATCCCGCGTTGTTTTGATCCGGCAATCCGCTCCAACCGTAATTAATTCTACGTAATTATGCAGAGAAAAGCTATTCTACCTGTATCAACTGCACTCGCCCGTTGTGCTGCGATTTTAATATTAAAAAATTATTATACGCATATTCTCAACGTACGCCGTTCCAAGAAATTAATCACGCGCTTTAGGTGTTATAAATCTGCTCGATTTTTCCAGATAAAATTTCTAATTCTGATTCAGCAATCACTGCGTCACGTCCGGAATAATTTGCGTTCAGATGATTCTAGTTAGATTTCGATACCAGATACCGTTCGTGTACTCCGCGCGAACGAAATCACCAAAAATCGCAACGCTAATTGGAATAGCTGGTTGGCGTGCACGATTTTCGTCCGCGACGAAGAAACCGATTTCCCTTTCGAACGGTTGCCGTGCACGTACCTCGACCAATCCCCTCGATAGTTCGATCGGTCGAGCAGTAGTCTAGTCAGCCTGGAGCTCGTTCGCTCGGCGCACTTTTTGCTCGGACCCGAGGCATTGTGAGTCGTGGGTTGCGCAATGATAGCGTTCGCCGGCTCGCTCCCGATAAGTTCATGCTCTAGAATCCGAGCCGAAGGCGTTACCCCGCGCTTATAAACCGGCTGTCGTGTCTCCGATACTTACCGCCGTCCGGAAGCTTCAATCTCTCACGGATTTATTATGAATCATCAACTTGACGATGTGACAAAATTAAAATACGAATTTCTCAATAATTCGTATAAATCGGAATTTTCTAACATAATTTCTAATGAGCCAATTAAAATTGCAACGGCAAGATTCGACAAGTTTCATATGATAATTAACATACTCGATACTATAAGTTCCTCCGGTATCTGGAAGTTTTCCGAAAATTATGCTTTCAGCTGGTTCGTGGATTCAGCGAGTTTCAATCGATTTCAGTCTCAAAAGCGACAACTTCGTCGTTTGGCTGGCGTTAATTAATGATCATGTTCATAAAATGTGGAGATGAAGTTTAGCTTGCACAAATATCATTCTCTTAGTTTTGCTTTCGAAATAATAAATAAATGATATGTTATGAAATTTTTATAAATACACTCACAAAAATTCACATTTATCACGAGATGATCTTTTAATTAAACATTAGATCTGGAATCATTTTTCCGAGGTATAAATTTTCCATCAGGGGCTTCATTCGATTTGGAATTTTTCATTAAAAGCCTGACGGAGTATAAAATCTGGATAATTAAATAATTCCTCGTACATGTACCATTAATTTGAAGAGAGAAAAATATTAACGACAGAAAGAGTGTAATATTATACAATGCTTTATTTATAATGAGATGTTCCATGTACTTGCAATAATCTGCAAGAGATTATAACATTCGATGCCTGATGTCCGCTATCGGATTCCTCGATAAAATTTCATTGGAACCAGGGAAATATTTGATCTGCGCCGGAGCGCAATTCATTATCGCGGCGCGATTTTATGCAGATCCGTTGTCAATTCCGTTGGCCCGGGGGTCGCGGGGTCTGGTCGGGGCCGGGAGAGAATTGCAGCCGTAAATCCGACGGAATCGGTGAATTACGAGCCGGTCCTGGCAAGGTGCGACGTATATATCTGATGCGATCCTCGAAATTAACGTCGCCGGCTTTCTACGGGATTGCACCGCGTCCTTCTGTCTGCTCTGTCCTGCCCGTCTGTCGTTGGTCTCCCGCGACCACTTCCACGCTCTCGGTTACGTCGCGCTTGTCGATGATAATTAAACGCATCGTTCGCGCACGCTGTGTCTGTTAACTTTGAGCCACCACCCCTCTGAGGATTGCATTAACCGTTACCTCGGGCGCAGGCTTTGTGAGCACTAAAACAAATTGAACAGTTCAATCAAGAAAATTATACTGGTTCATCTCGTCGACAATTATCATATTTTTATACATTCGTACCACAAATTATAATAGAATATTATTATAAGATTCTGTTTATAAGAAACAATTAGAATTGAGGTGGTATACAGGCTTTGTAGTTCAATTAAGAAAATGACGCTGGTTTATCTGATTGACAATTATCGTGTTTCTATAAATTAAAATATTATTATAAGATAATAAAAATATATACATATAAGAAACGTGTGAAACAGAGGTGTTATGCGATCTCCGGTGGTTGTGGTCTCGCGGGCGTTACATAAACAGGAGAATTTGAGAAGAAGGAAACGCATTTCGACGCGGATCCGGTTTCGCGAGCCAAAACCTCGGCAAGGTATTAGCGTCCAATCAGCGTGAACGATGAATCGCGTCTTTCCCTCTTGTTTTGTCCCGGGTAACCGCTCCAGCCTCGTTATAAAACGAGACCGCGAACGGGCTCGCGTGTAACGAGCTCGCTTTGGCCAGCCTCGCATTTTGCATTGCGCAAGAGCGGGGCCGAGCAGAACTGAGCGGGCTGCGACTGGAGCGTGGTTAACAGATAGATACGACACCGCGTCGCGTTGTTTCCAGCGCGCGGGACAAGAACAAAAATGTACCGAACGCTCTAATTACGACCTACGGGCTCACGTACGATCGTAGCGAAATTTCACGTCGAATTTCACGTCCCCTTCTACACAGAAAGTTGTCATTCACGATCAAAGCGTTCAGGGCTGTGCTGGATTTCGGTGACCGTCCGACTTACACCAAATTCTACGAGTGTTGTGAATACATGCGAATGAATCGATGCGATGCAACGTTTTGCTAAACGATGGGACCATCAAAAGGGACGGCTTAACACGGTGATTGACGTATACCTGTTTCTACCGGAGGGGGTCAAAATGACTTGTTTTTCAAATTAATAAGTCATAAGAAAAGACATAGCAATTATGAGTGAAAATTGAGTAATAAACTGATAATGATAATAATAATTTTCAAAATAATTACGCTTTTAACCTGCGTCCCGTGAGGATCAAAATGACTCATTTCGGTATATGGAGGTATACTGCATACAATTTTGCATCAAAAAGACAAAAAAAAAAAAACTGTTTTACAAAATTAGTTATTTGCATATTCCAGGAAAAGTCATACAAAATTTTAGAAAATAAAATATACTAAAAATGAGTAATGATTGAAAGAAATGCCAGACAAGTCATTATGACCCTGCTTGGTAGATCTAGTGTTAAGAGGGAAACCGTAAATTGTGTTTGTAAGCGTAACGCGGACTAATTAACAGGTTCCGCATGATTCTCTTGACACAATTAGCGGCAGAGATCGACCCGCTTCTTCCACGCTTTTCAATCGCCATGCCGTTCGCCTCGCGCAATAACAATGTAATAATGTGGCACGCGAAGCGATACAACGTCGAATCGATTTCGAACGTTATTACGATCGTATTATATAAAGTCTCATTACAGTCGTCGCGTTCGATTTCCCGTCCGGCTGAATCGCGCATTAATGCCCCCCCCCCCCTCCTGTCTTTCCTTGATCTATCTGCAAATACCCGCACGCACCGTGTAACGTTATGTTACATTGTTTAGCCAAACGAGCTCCCATCGTGTTTCTACTGCCTGTTATGCTATCTCGTAATTATTGCGCTTAGCGGATAATTAATCACGCGATCCAGCTTGCTACCTTCTTCACAAACTATCACGATCTTATCAGAAAATTAATAATTCGATTATTTTCATAAGAAAATTCATATACCATCTTACATTATAATTCATTGTATTAATTTTTTTTACGAAATACAATTTAATATGTCAGAAGGTGTAAACTTGGGAGATTCCTTAAAAGAGAAAACTAGTAAATGACACGGGATGCGTTTGACAGTCGAGTGTGAAGGGAATGTGAGTCGTAAAAGTTTAGCATTCGCGAAAACGGCGCGTTTAATCCAAGGAAATTCGCTCCGCTCTAAAGGGACACGGACAGTCTAGCAAGTTTCGCAGCTGAACAGTCTTGCAGGCGCTACGGATGATTACTATTGCGAAGCATGGAGAGGTTTACGCTCCTCTTACGCGTTTCGACGTAGAGAATTTAAAACGTGAGACTCACTGACACTGAGCCAGTCGAGCACGCAGGATGCGCGCAGCCAAAGAGAGTTCATCTCTGTCGTTCGAACAGATCTTATCAAGCGACCGGCGAGGGGGGAGGGGGGGAGGAAATGAAAAATCCATTTCCTGCTCGCGCTGGAAAATTGGATGCTGCGTCTGTGAAAGCAGACGTTCCCGAGTATTGTACTAATATTCAGTCCGATATTAACTGTGATTACGCGGGGAAACATTTTGACGTAACTCTGCCGAACCGATTTTTGCCTGCCGGTTCGTCTTTTATGAAGATCGATGCAACGAAAAATTAAGAAACGTTCGCGTTCAATTTTAACAGACGCGGCGAGTGCATCCAATTAGCGAGCGACGCATATCATTTGCCGAGTCGACGATTTCCTTTGATCCTTATTAATCGTACAGAAACCGAAACAGCTGATCGATTTCTTGCACGAGATAACGAGATAAAAAAAAAAACACGTAAAATATAAAGCAGCGAAATATACGAAGCCTGATTTTTGCCAGTGATTCAGCCACATCATTTCCTTAATTCTGCCTGCTTTCTACTTTCTATCGGGCAGGGCGGTAACAATCGCGTCGCTTTGCGCTCGCAGGATCTCGCGTGCGAATATGAATTTCTGCGCCTTATCGGCCCGTTACGAGATCCCCGGGACAGCGCATAGGTCGCGCAGCCACGTACAGTAAATGCATACTTATAGGTGTGCATTAAACGAGCCGGCAAACTCGTTCGCTTTTGCATTACGCAAGAACCACGCCTAAGTCGGTGCTGGTCGATGCACCGGTCGCGGTTCTAACCAACGATCCAGCTTGCTGAGAACGCCAGATCGTTTGTTATTGCAACTCGAAAATTCAGTAAACTGCAATTCAGACAATCAACTAAATTCAATGAACACACATTTTGTTCAGATTAACCCATTCGCTGCCAAGGACGAGTATACTCGTCTTTGGCAGGGTGTCACGCATTGCCAGGACGAGTATACTCGTCCTGCTTTAAATATATTATAACATGCAGGCTCTTTTGAAGGCCCATTGCCAACGACGAGTATACTCGNCATGCCTATGTAAATCTTCCATAAACACATGAAATCTGCAATTATAATCACGAGCGTATGGTAATTATAACGCATGTAATTATTGTCCTTTCATTTTTAAGTAATTTACACATGCAAAATATTTCAATATTATTTGAATAGTGAAACATTATTCTCAAATCAGAGTCACGGTAGTAAACAATGGATCCCGGAGATTGACCATGGTTTTTGTAAGAAAATTTTTTAGACAGCGACTCCACCAGGCGTATCGAGACAAGCATCGATAGCTGCGTTCGAGCAACGCGTTTGGTAATCGTTCACCTTGACCAAGCTGTGATTCCAGCCGCGTGTTAAATCGCATTATATCGGACAAAATCGATCCTGGAAAAACGCACAGCCAAGCGAACGTACGCTGCGATGCATATACGTTTCGTAGTTTATTACAGGACTAGGGAATTGTGTTAAGCATGAAAGATGAACGTTAAACTTTAGTTAACGTGTACTTAGCGATGATCGTTACAAACGTTCCTTGATTTCTACATATGTAACTGCTTTCAGTTTAACTAATCGAAACGAACACGGTTTTAATTGACTGTATATTACGTGCATATATATTTTCCGCATCATTGAGATTTCATACAACATTCCTCGATAAGATTGTTAAAGAGATTAATTAACAGCAAATTATCTTCATATAATTCATTTAGGAATTTTGTTACTTAACCAGAGTTTCACCGATTTTATTGATTAATTCTAATCTGAGCAATGATAAGCGTTTTAAAATCGGTGATAACGTCAAAAGGCACGGAACGAATGATTTGGACAGGCGTCCACCGGGCAGGTTCCCAGGAGTCTTAATTAAGCCGAGGGTCTTGGAAAATTAAGCGCTATTAGAGCGGAGTCATAATTGGAGCCCGCGTCGCGTCGATGCAACGCCACGCCGAGCCGTCGTGCACGCGCGGCTGAAAAACTATCGTTGATTGCCCGCGGTGCCCCGATTAGTACCGATCCGCTCGCGATCCCGTCCCGTAAAGTCCACGCGATCGTTTCCCGTTTCCAAGATGATGAAACAACCCAGCGTCACACAGCCAGTTAAACTTTGTGCTCCATTTCTTCATTTCTATCTTTCGCCTGCCCGTATATAGAATGCAGTAGAACTCAAACGTTGCATTAAATAATTAGCTCGTTCAGATAATAAACGCTCGTTTCATTTAGCATTTCATTTGCGAATAGTAGGAGTTTGTCCAAATATTTGTATAATTAGAGCATTAACATATTTTATAACAGATCATACTACGCACTGATTGTCGACTGGATTTCAATTAAATTTGTATTACGCATGTATAAAAATTTCATACTCGATTAAGCTGGAACACGGCTTTTAGAAGATGGGAATCCGCAGACGATGAATTCATAACAGATGCCGGGAGTTGCTGGCGCGGTTCGAATTCCGATTTCCGAGCCAGCGGTTGTCATTAACCGTGCAAATAACGAAGTTATTGAACCTTGATATCCACTTTAGCATTTCGTTCGATTTCACCGCGGCGATAGCCACGCGCGATTTTACGTAACGCCTAGCTCGCATGCAAATGCGCCGCTCGATTTTACGTAAAGGTCGGCCGTTATCTTTTATCTGATCCCGCGGTTTCGCACGCTTTCTTACGTACGAGCAGAGTCGGCCGAATTCTTTATTTCGATCCATGCATCCGTCTGTCCGTCCATCCGGCACGATGATCGGGCCCCGGGGACCGGTACTTGTTACGCGCGTTCAACTCCTCTCGTGCCGCGAGAGCGTGTTAAGCGGATTTCGCGGGGAAAGCCAGGAAGTTGGCCGGCCGCGAGTGAAATCTGGCCGTCTTTTATTTTCGTGCACCAACGTCTAGCGACCCCGATCGCGTTTCAGCCACGCGAATTCCGCGCTCGTCACTTCCGCTCCGATAAAACGTGCCGTAATTCTCGCCACGAGTCCTTCCTGTGTTTTTTCTTCTCTCTTTTTTTTTTTTAGATAGTTTATGCGCGCAGGCGGTGGGAGTGACCAATTTATAGTGCAGGGAATTCATTGCGACCTACTTCTTACACAGAGTGAATCAATAGGAATAATAGTACGACTTTTCTTCGATTTAATTGATGAATTCTTTGTTCAGTGAATATTATTAGTAAACATTAT